CCTCACAGCCCCTCCCAGAAATAGCGGGGCCAACCAACTAGCTCAACACCCTCCTGAGTTACGGCCACCCTCCTGAGTTGTGAGGGCCACCCGCGCTGTGTGTGTGTGTGTGTGTGTGAGGCACATCCACCCAAACAGTGTGTGTGTGTGTGTGTGTGTGTGAGGCAACCCCACCCAGCTGTATGAGAGTGAGTCACATCCACCCAAACAGTGTGTGTGTGTGTGTGTGAGCCAATCCCACCTAAGCTGTGTGTGAATCAAGCAAACCAACCTGCGCCGTGTGTGTGTGGCATCATCACCCAGATAATGGTTTAGTGGGACAGTTGTATCACCACCCTTACACACCTGATGCCGAGCGATCACCTGTTCTCGATCAGCTGATATGGTGTAAACACGTGGGTCGTCCCCTTCAACACTGTTTAAATGCTGACTGACTGACTGACTGACGAACTGATTGACTGACTCGATTACTCACTCACATCAGCATTACCACACATCTTCTAGTTGACGTATACGAAAATAATGTCTACTGGTATATAATAAAAATGGGTTTCCCAGATACGCCCACAAAACAGACTATAAGACAATAAACTGTTACAAATTATATAAGTAGAGACGTCAAAATAAAAACAGTCATATAAATGTACCTCCTTACAAACATATTATCTCTCTCTCTCTCTCTCTCTCTCTCTCTCTCTCTCTCTCTCCTATATCCCCCCACAAACTTCCTCTAAACTTTCTACACTGTTTCTCTCCAAACCTTCTCTTTCAATTCCCCCTTTATACTCCGCCTGGGAGTCTCCACGTCTCACTCACTCTCCCTTCTTCTACACCTCCCCCGCCCCCCCTCCACGCGGCGTACACAGTGGGGACCACCCAAGTGGCGGGCCCGAGGGAGCGTGGCCTCCACCCTGCCAACCCTCCACATGGCACTGGCGGCAACACAGTGCCAACCCTCCACACCGCCACCGCCACACGCAGGGCAAGAATGTGTGTGTGTGTGTGTGTGTGTGTGTGTGTGTGTGTGTGTGTGTGTGTGTGTAAGAGAGGGGGAGGGATGGGTGATGGTAAGATTGTGGTGGTCAAATGAGGAGGGGTAAGGGAGGTGGGGTGTACAAAAGGGTGAGAGAGTAGGGGGAAGAGGGGTGGAGGTGGTGGAAGGAAGGAGTGAGGGAGTTTAAGGAGGTGAGGAGAGCAAGAGTCGTTAGATGAACAACAAAACGAAAGACGGCAGATAAAACAGAGGAAGGTGAGGAGGTGAATAAACGGGAAATAACAAGCAGCAGCCAAGAAGGCCAAGAGTGACGTGATGGAGGTGGGGAGAGTGGGAGGAGGTGGGGTGGGGGAGGAGGTGGGGCGGGGGAGGAGGTGGGGAGAGTGGGAGGAGGGCTAGGGAGGAAGTAGGGTGGGAGGAGAGGTTTAGGGAGGGATGGGAGGTGGGGTGTGACGTGATCAGGTGTGGGGAGGTAGGATTACCCTGGACCCTGACACACACTGTTTATCTCAACACTGTCCAAACTGAGGCAGACTATCGCAGACCACAATGTTTAACTCGACTATGTAGGTGAAATAGATACATTGCTATACCATTATTATCCAACTGCAGCAGACGGTCCAGTACTACATTATATTATGAGTATTTTTATCTGATTAGACTATGTTATAATATTCAACAGAGGCAGAGGCAGACAGTGTCAAGGGTTAATGTGCCACGACAGTACACTATGTTGACGTTTGTGTGTTGGCTCTACACCAAGTGGGAGGTGAGTACCCTATTGCCACCACTATTACTACAACTAATAATAACGACAATAATAGAGAAAAAACTAAATAAAATAATAGACATAACAAACAACAATAAACGTATGAGAATAATAACAACAAAACAACCATAATATCAATAACAAAACAACAACAGCAATAATAATAATGTTGACGGCGACATATTTCCGGCTGTGAACTACAAAGATTTTTGCTGAAGGATCTCGCCTAACCGCAGTAAGTTTGTGCTGTTTACATGATCGTCTTGCCTACAGTTATTCTATACTCTTACCCCCCCCTCCCCCCCCACAACACTCCCGACAACAGTGACTACTACGCTACCACTCACCCACTACCTGCTAGGCTACCACCTACACGCTAGGCTACCACTACCACCAGGTTACACCACCTTCAGGCTACCACACACTGGGGTTACACTACTCGCTAGGCTACCACTCATTGGGCCACACCACTGCCAGGGCTACCACTCACTGGCACACTCACTGGGCTACCTACCTACTGGGCTACCACCACTCACTCTACTGCTAGGCTACCACCACTGGGTTACACCACTACTCACTACCACTCACACCACTAGCTACCACCACTGGGTTACACCACCACACCACCACGGGGTTACACCACTAGGCTACCACTCACTGTTACACTACTCACAGGCTACCACTCACTGGGTTACCACCACTCACCACTAGGCTACCACCACTGGGTTACACTCACCAGGCTACCACCACTGGGTTACACCACTCACTAGGCTACCACTCACTGGGTTACACCACTCACCAGGCTACCACTCACTGGGTTACACCACTCACTAGGCTACCAACTACTGGAGATACAACTCACTAGGACACATCTTGGTGAGGAGAACAGTGGGTCACCAGGCAACTCCAACACACGTCTCCGTCACCAGGCACCCTGACCCTTACTCCAAAGTACCACAACCCTCACCTGTACCACCTCATTAACCTCCTGACCCCCACCACCCCCACCTCCAGTACCACAACCCTCACCACCACCTCATTAACCTGCATACCACCACCCTGACCCCTTACCACCCCCTCCAAAGTACCAACCCTCACCTGCCCACCTCATTAACCTGCACCACCACCTCTGACCCCTTACCACCACCCCTCCAAAGTACCACAACCTCTGTACCACCTGCAATACCACCACCTCTGACCTTACCACCCCCTCCAAAGTACCACAACCTCACCTGTACCACCTCATTAACCTGAAATACCACCACCTCTGACCCTTACCACCAAAGTACCACAACCTCACCTGGACCCACCTCATTAACCTGCAATACCACCACCTCTGACCCCTACCACCCACCTCCAGTACACAACCTCACCTGTACCACCCATTAACCTACCAACTCTGACCCCTTACCAGCCCCCAGTACCACAACCCTCACCTGATCCACCTCATTAACCTGAAATACCACCACCTCTGACCCTTACCACCCTCCAAAGTACCACAACCCCACCTGTACCACCTCATTAACCTGCAATACCACCACCCTGACCCCTTACCACCCCCCCTCCAAAGTACCACAACCTTCACCTGTACCACCTCATTAACCTGCAATACCAACACCCAAAGAAAAAAACCAAATACATATCTCATTTAATACTTGCTGACTCACCACCTCTTCACCACTCCCCTTCCTGCCATTAGGAGTTCCCATCACCAACACTTCTCCTCCATCACCATCACCACAAACTCATCACTGTTAACCTTACAATACCATGACATTTTCACCATCATTATCACCAACACTCCGTCAGCAGCGCCCCCACAATACTTTCTCACAGCCAGAAATAGTTACCAGCGACTCTATCTACTGCGGTAACGATCAACAAAAACATAACAAGTTAATCGTGACTTAACTACCACAAATGAGGATAATAACCAACACACACACACACACACCCGCCATGTTAGGCTACTCATTAATGGGTAACGTCTCCAGCCATTAGACTACAAAATATCCGGTAATTTATGTTAAGAGTCAAAATCAGCTGAGCGTGAAGGCAATCCCCTCACACACAAGCACAACATGTAACTCAAATCATCAAAGGACAACTCGGGGAAGACGTCGTTTTTGTCAGCCAACAAGAGAGAGCCGCTCACCAATTAGTTCGCCAGACCGTTACTATACCGAGAGGCAACCGTCGCCACAACAGGCCAATCACCGCGACGTTTAAACCACCAATTAGCGTGAATAATGGTCCTGCAAGTGTGCTTTAATCCCAGTAGTAGTATCCCTTACCCAACCACCTCCTCCCTGCCTCACACACACACACACAGACAAAAACTGATCTCCGGGGAACCTCGACAAGGACACGAAAGCCAATGTTTACATCGGTTTGTTTACATCCAGAGACGATTAGTAACGGTCAGCAAGAATGAACGGGATCACAAATCAGTACCAAAATACACCCCGGCCTTCATTCAACAGCATCCTCATGATATGCTTAGTACAGAGTAAATCATCAGGTGCATCCCCACTCGATTGCTGTCTTTAAACATTTAACCACAACGCCGCTATATTGTTTGTAAGAGTTAATAGTACAGGTTCTACGATCATTTTTTCTGCTAATGGAGAATCGTTCCTTCTTTCGTTTTATGAACCCACAACAGTAACACAAGTCACCTGCTCCATGCTTGCTTTTTGTGGTCTGTGCTGTGTAAAGGCTCCATTCACCTCATAACACAACCTGTCTAGAGTTACAATACTGAAATCACGTTCACTCACCAATATGAAAATACGACTCATAGTCATAGAACATCAGAAGTCTTGTAAAGAGAATAGTCAATGTACAGCACAGACAAGAGCCTCTTTCCAAGCCTAAGACTCCCAGCCACTGGAACAAGTCTTCTAAGTGATGGTCTACCCACATATGGCAATGTAGCGTCTCATTGGAATTTGGTACATTTTCCAATACCGGTGAAAGGATCTTTTGGTCGTAACTGGACAACTAATGTCTAGACCAGTCCCAGGACCAACTTGGAATAAATTACAACCTACCGTAATCTTGACACAGCTGGCGTCTCTACCGGCTGCCTAGGTAATCTAAATGCTGGATGGACGTTTCACCCGCCAGATGTTCAAGCCTAGTGAGGGTAAAGCCGACAGGCCGAAAACCTTAGGCTAAAAAGGTGCGGATATGAAACGTCAAACATCTTGAGCGACGAGGAGAGAAAAGGCTTACCTTCGACCCATAATCTCTGTACATCTGTGAGTAGGGTGGCGCTCTTGAGGCCGACGCAGAAGGTGGCAAGCACGAGGAGGGCGACAAAGAGCACCTTGCCCGCGTGTCTCTGGCAGAACACCCCGAGTTGCAGCAGCTGCACCTGCAGTTTGGTCCGTACCCATAGTGCTGCCCGACTCCCCGTCGCCCGACCCTGCAACACCACAAACACTGTTATAACATCAGCAACTAAAGAGGTGTGAGACACTTGATGGTGTCCCTTGGCTCCGAGTATTAATGAGGAAGAAAAATACCATATTATTTTTTTATGTAGGAGTGAGTCTCTTAATCATATTATTTACCAACACATAATTAACGTAGATAACTAAGGAATAAGAATGATACATTAGAGTAATAAACATCAAGTCTATAAAACATCAAGTACTCAACACACAAAACCCTAGTCATTGGGTCTTGCCTCCCCACCACCACTGTCAGAATACTAACCCACCACAAGGAGAGAGATTCGTGTCAATCTCCCTTTACCCCCCTCCCTCCCTACCCTCTCCCTCTGTCGTAGTCGTAAGCCGTGTATCAAAAGGGAGCCTTACACCACCCAGACGCCCGAGAACATTATAAATACTTCAGGGAGTTGAAAAGAAAGGTGGTGTGTGTGTGTTGCGGAGATCAAGAGAAGCGCTCACTTAGGAGTTCTTCAGATTGTAATGGTAATTAATTGTGCCACCCACCAACTCACCCAGTCGCCCACCCACCCACCCACCCTCTCTCTGTTATTCCACCGCCCCTCTCATCTTCACTACCCATCTCCTACACCACAAGCTAACACTATTCATCTCACTTCTTCCCTCCCCTTCCTCCCTCCCCCTCTATCAGCCATACCACTCCCTCCTATCAACTCTTTTCCATCACACTACCTCTACCCGTCACATCTTTCTCTCTCACCCCTCCTGGGAAATACAGAAAGATAAAACTATTCTCTCCCGGGGCCGTCTCTTCTCCCCCCCTGTCCCTTCCCGTCCCATCTCTCCCCTGAAGTCACCTAAACTAAGATCTTCCCCCTGTCCTTCCGTTCCATCTCCCTGACACTCAGCTTAAGTAAGATCCCCCTTCTCCGTTCCACCCCCATCACGTCACCTAAACCAAGATCCTTCCCGCCACATCCCTACCAATCCCATCTCTCCAACGCGACCTCCTCCTCCCCCCCACTACCCCAAGAACGACAGAGAGAGAGAGAGAGAGAGAGAGAGAGGATGGTTCGGGCCGTAACGAGAGCGCCACCACCCAGAGCGCTGCGTCGTAAACGTAATGAGATGCAAGACGTACTGCTACTCAGGTCGGAAGATGTTGACAGTCCTCACGATATACTGCTGGTGGTGAGTCTCATCCTCAAGGAGTCTACAAATAATGTTACTCTGCCAGGAGACTCACAACAGACCCATACCTCAGAATATAGTCTACAGTATTTCTCGAGTTAAAGTGCTGTGAAGTAGTGTTTCTCAGGTTAAGTGAAGTAGTGTTTCTCAAGTTAAAGTGCTGTGAAGTAGTGTTTCTCAGGTTAAGTGAAGTAGTGTTTCTCAAGTTAAAGTGCTGTGAAGTAGTGTTTCTCAGATTAAGTGAAGTAGTGTTTCTCAGGTTAATATAATGTGAAGTAGTGTTTCTCAGGTTAAGGTGCTGTCAAGTCGCGTTTCTCAAGCTAAAGTGTTGTGAAGTTGTGTTTTCTCAGGTAGAATGTATCTTAAGGTAAATACTGAACTAAACATTAAGGTAAATAATAGAAAAAAAAAAAGATCAGACAAAATAAATTCCCGGCAAAAAATGGAGAAAAAATATAAATAAAATACAATAATGCAAACAAATTAAGACACCGAATGCGTTAAACTGATTAAAAAACGCGTGAAAATTTATCCACGTCAGGTCAGTCTAGGGAGGGTGATATATATTAGGCTTAGTAAACGTGGTAAAAAAAAACATACACATAAATTAAGAGTTGCAGGTGTGTGTGTGTGTGTGTGTGTGTGTAATGGTCTAGGTTAGTGTAGGGTTAGGTTAGGTTAGTAGGGGTGTAGGTTACGTTAGTAGGGGTACCAGCTATATATCAACAAGAGTGAACACAGAATTTAAACCAAAATCAATCCCAGCAAACGACGTACAGTTACCGTTAATAGGTGTATGTATGTATGTATGTATGTATGTATGTATGTATGTATGTGTAGAGAGCCCAGTCGGAACAGAGAGCTATATCTGTGACCAAGCCAAGCCGGGGCCGCGTCACTCACCCCAACATTCATCTTCATTAGGAGAATTAAAATGCCACAAAGTTAATTTCAAAGCTAACAAAGAAAGAAATTACATTCTATTAGCTTGATAAGTATCTACCTCTGTCGGCGCCATTATTAACCGCAGCCGCCACAAGTACAAAGGTATGTTCTATTAGCAGTAATACGAGGCATTACATTACAGTCGAGATAAACGATACATTATTATTATTATTTATTATTATTACTATTATTACCACTATTATTATTACCACTATTATTATTATTGTTGTTGTTATTGTTTTTTTATTATTATTGTTATTATTATTATAAGGTATTAAAGAGAAGATAGCCCACGATACTATGGTAGAGACCCACGATACTATGGTAGAGACCCACGATACTATGGTGCAGAGACCCACGATACTATACTACACAGACCCACGCTACTATATTAGACCGACGATACTATATTACAGAGACCTACGACACTATGGTGCAGAGACCCACGACACTATAGAGACCCACGATCCTGTGGTGAGACCCACGATACTATGGTGAGACCCACGATTACTATACTATGGTGCAGAGACCACGATACTATGGTAGAGACCACGATACTATGGTAGAGACCCACGATACTATGGTAGAGACCCACGATACTATGGTGCAGAGACCCACGATACTATACTACACAGACCCACGCTACTATATTAGACCGACGATACTATATTACAGAGACCTACGACACTATGGTGCAGAGACCCACGACACTGTTACATAGACCCACGATCCTGTATTACAGAGACCCACGATACTATATTAGACCCACGATACTATATTACAGACCCACGATACTGTATTACAGAGACCCACGACACTGTTACATAGACCCACGATACTGTATTACAGAGACCCACGATACTATATTAGACCCACGATACTATATTACAGACCCACGATACTGTATTACAGAGACCCACGATATCCTATACTGTGCTAGCACCAACACATTTAAAATACAATTATCACAGGTAAATAATAAAAAATATTACATAATTACAAGATATTATAGATTACAGGTACACGATGGTAATATTACAAAGGTTACAAGACTACATTATAACATAGGAGGAAAGATGTGGAAATATTACTACACATTACTTGGCCCGTGAGTGTGTGTATGTGTGTGTGTATGTGTGTGTGTGTGTGTGTGTGTGTGTGTGTGTGTGTGTGTGTGTGTGTGGCAGCGTTAGTAAAGCCAGGAGCCAATCTCAACACAGCATCCAGAAATAAACCCTCTTAACATCATTTTATACTCGCCTGTGTTAATAAATAGCGTGATAAAAATAACCCAGACATAAACGGTTCAGGAATCTATCCAAAAATACATAACCTAATGAGGATGTGAGGATGAATGACCTTGAATTGAAGGGAAAAAATACACGTGTGTTTACTTTTCCGCCATCTTGCATTTTGGCGGGAAAAACGTTGGCGGGAAAACGTTCGAGGGAGTTGAGGAAATAATTACGTGTTTATCATTTATTATTTACCTACTTTACCATTTATTATATCATTTATTTATTACCTCTTCATCTGTTTATCTATTCATTTCTTTATTAATTTGTACTGATATCAAAGCGTTTATCATACAGTATCGATTTGATTTTCATTTATCGTTTACACTTTCATCATTTATTCATCAAACTAATCAACTCCCTGTATTTATTTGTTACTATGAAAGAAATACTCAGCTTGTCTAATAAGTTAAGCTATATTAAAATAACAATGGTGCTATGTACTTATTCAGTCAACACAACACACCTGTCAGCTTATCAGTCAACACAACACACCTGTCAGCTTATCAGTCAACACATATGACACCTCCCAGTCATTTAGTCAACACATATGACACTTCCACTCAACACCTAGAACACTCCTTGCTGCTGTTATGCCCAGGATGAACTAGGCGAGTGTACGTCAATACTGGGAAAAACATCCACACATACTTGGAGCTTCTAACGCGATAATGGAGAAATATTAATAATTCTACCCACTGGTGTTACATAAATGGACAAGATAGTTATGATGAGCAAGATAATGAGGGATATTGTGGTGTGGGATGCAAGGAGGAGGATAGAGAGGAGACGAGAGACAAGGAGAAGGGGGGAGACAGGGAGATAAGAGGGGAGACGAGAGACAGAGAGGTAAGAGGGGAGACGGGAGACAAAGAGGGAGTAAGGGAGGGAGGGGATGCAAAGACTGACACACACACACACACACACACACACACACACACACACACACACACACACACCACCATACCAACTTTGAGCCTCTGGTAATAATCATGAACCCATAACCAGCTTACTTCACTTAATGATTAAAAAACATATTAACACTGCAATGGGGGATAGTTGGGATGGGATAGGATAGGATAGGATAGGATAGGATAGGATAGGATAGATTCATAACAGACATAACCACAGCAACAAGCACCAGAGTCACCCAGTACCCGATTCGATTGTGATTCGCCAGGACACGTGAAGACTCGATCTGACTCTCGTTATGTACCCACTAAATCGCACCATTGACTCACCTCGACTCACCACAAGCTCACTGACTCATCCATATGCACCCGAACCCGCTAGAAACCCATCCCACTGTCCAGAACGAACCCCATGCTTCCTGATGTACCCACTTGACCCACTAAAACCCATGATAACCCACCCAATCCTACCAGAAACCCCCCCCCCCAGGATGGATGAAAAGAGAGGAGGAGGAAGAATAAGGTAGGGTTAGTTGAGGAGGACAGGGTGAGGGGGGCAGGAAGGAAGGTTAAGGGGATGTTGGTGGGGGAAGGAGGACCTGAAAGTGGGGAGAAGGGGGTGAGGGAGAAGGGGGAGATAAAGTGTGTTGGAGAGATTGAGTACCGCAT